AAATCTTTCAGCTTTAGTCATCATTTGGTGAAAGTTCTCTGAATTTGGGTGTATATGAATAGACTTACTCATAATAACATCTCTGGGAAACCAAGGAGTCCATCCTCTTTCTAGTTCAAATGGTGACTTATTAGTAGTGCTGTGCTTACTGGAATTGTATGCAAATTCTAAAGCTGGCAATAATGTTACCCAATCATGTGTAAAATGATCTTTGTCTTTAAATGTTAGTCCAAAGGCACAATATCTCCTGATCATATCTTCTAGAGTTTGTATCATCCTTTCTGCTAGCCCATCTGTTTGAGGATGATATGCTGTAGAAAATCTCAATTCAGTTCCACAAATATCATACAAATTTTTCCAGAATTCAGATGTAAATTTTGGATCTCTGTCTGTGATGATATATCTTGGACACCCTACGTCATAAATGATGTTATTCCAGAATAGGAGAGCAGTGTCCATTGCAGTGTCTTCCTTATGACATGTCAAGAACCCACATCTTTTAGAGAATCTATCTACCACTACTAAAACAGCATTATAATTATTGGGACCTCCCGGGGGTAAACCTGTCACAAAGTCCATATTGATCACACTCCACCTTTCAGTTGGTTCTTCTATTTCTTGTAATAAACCAAATCTCTTGCCAGTAGCTTTATTGGCTTTCTGGCATCTATCACAAGTATCACAATAATTTTTTGTATCTTTAACATACTCTGGCCACCATGCAATTTGTCTAATTCTGTCTAATGTTCTTTCAAATGAGAAATGTCCTGATGTTATATTATCATGACATTCTTTCAAAAATAAGTTAATATGTTCTCTGTCATGTATTGTAACTACGCTAGAGTATTTAGTCCTGTGATATAATAGTCCATCTAGTAATGAGAACCTTCCTTCTTCAAATGATTTCTTCCAAGGTTCCTCTAAGGATGAACTAACATTATTTAGTTTAAATTTAGACTGAAGAAGTTCAATTAGTTTACTGGTGTTTGTATTATTGGTGTAGGATTCTTTAATATTATCCCAAAATTCCTCTTCCATTTCTGTTATGTGTAATCCACATATTACAACCTCCTCTCTGTCTTCAAATACTAGATTAGATTCATCATTTGGTTCTGGAAATAATGACATAATTTTGGCTGCAATTTCTCCGTCCCAAGCAGGGTTTATGGGGTTGTTATCTAAACACCATCTACTCAGTCCATCTGCATTCTTATGTATTTTCCCTTCTCTGTGGGAAATTGTCATGCTTCCTCTCCATTCTTGTATTGCAATTTGCCATCTCAACATATGTCTATTGGGGGTTTTCATATTTAGTAGGGATCTCAGAGCATTACAGTCTGTAATCACTTCAAATTTACATCCATCTAGATAATAATATAGTTTTTCCAAGGCCCATATTAGACACAAACATTCTAGTTGACTGGCTCCATATTTCTTTTCACTATCTTTAAGAGTTCTAGATATGTAACATATGACTCCTTCTTTAGGTATCCTTTCTCTGGTTTGAGTCTGGTGTAATGCTGCTCCTAAGCCTTCCATACAGGCATCTACGTATAATTTGTATGGTTCTTTGGGGTCAGGCATAAATAGTATTGGGGCTGATGTTAACATCTCTCTTAGAATATTAAAGGCTTCAACTCTCTCAGTTGTCATTTCAAAAACTGTGTGGGGACTGCAGATTTTGTATAATGGGCCACTTATCTTGGCAAAGTCTTTCAAATGCTGTCTATAATAACCTGCAAACCCCAAAAAGGATTGCAATTCTTTCACGCTATTGGGCATGTCTTTTAATAGTACTGCTGCTACTTTATTCTTGTCAATGGCTATACTTAGACCTGATACTATATGCCCTAGTGCTTTAAGTTCTTGGTATCCAAATTGACACTTACTCATAGATATCTTCATATTCATTGCAATAATTCTCTTCAGTACTATGGCTAATTTGTTAAGGTGATCTTGCCAGTCTTCTGTGAAAATTATAATATCATCTATTTATATAATCAACCATCCTTCTCTCAGTTCTTTATTGAATTCAATGTCCATCATCCTTTGAAAATGGGAAGGTGCATTCTTGATCCCAAAAGGCATTCTTTGATATTCATATATACCCATATGTAGAATAATTCTCATCAGATGTCTGCTCTCTGGATGAATTTTATTCTGATGGAATCCTTTCAACACGTCCATACAGGTAATGTATTTAGCATTCTGGAGTTGTGTTAAAGCTTCTTGTATTTTAGGCATGGGATATCTATCTGGAATAGTGTAATTGTTTAATGCTCTAAAATCTCCTACCATCCTGGATTTATTGTTATGCCAGGCTATGATGACTGGTGTTGTGACTTCTACATTCTCATTAGGTCCTACTTTCCTAAGTACATTCATCTTAACCAAATCTGTAACATGTTGCTGAAGTGCTTCTCTGCTTCTGGGTGATGCTGGATAAGCAGATCTTTTTAGTTTTGGAGGATATGGTCTAGAAATATTCAATGATATAGAAACTTCGTGACCTCTGATACATCCAAATGGTTCATCTGCAGTTGCAAATGCTGTATTATGTTCATGTAGTATTTCCTTCAATTCTTGTTTTTGAGTCTCAGTCAGTTGTTCATTAATCTTACTCTCTTGTATAGTTAGATCAAATTCTAATTTATTACTAGTACTATTTATTTCTAGTGCTTCTATACCTAATTTCTTTGTCATTCCTATTTCAAATCTCTTGTGAGTATCTCCTCCAATAGTAAAATACCTACCTTTACTATTAATGATATCTATACCACAGTTAATGATGTAATCATTACCTAATAGTATAGAATTGATGTTATAGTCTTGCATGACTACCAGTTCTGTCATGATTTTAACATCTCCCTTGTTGTGTGCAAATAATAATGGTAATTTAATAACTCCTAAAGGTTTCAACTTGCTATTACAGCTGAAGAATTTATCATGTTGGACAGGAGTTAGTTTATCTTCCCATTCAGGCTTTATTTTTTGTAACAACTTAGGACCCACTATGGAGCAGAATGCTCCTCCATCTAAGAGACATTTAACCTTATATTTATTACATATAACATTAGTGATGTTAGTTCCTCCTTGTAGGTGCATTCTTCCTTCACTTCCATCTCTGGATGGATCAAATAATTTCACCATTTCTTGACCTGTTTTATCTTTCTGTTGTTCTACTTGTAATACATCTATATTATTACCATCTATTATAGCAAAATTTCCTAGATCATTGTCATCAGAATCTATTATTTCTTCTGAGATTTCTACATTAGATTCTGTATCTGATAATGGGCACTGGTTATCTTCATTCATAACTCCCTGTATTTTATTCTCTTTCACTTTCTCCGGACACTTAGTTGATTTATGTCCTTTCTTTCCACATTCATAACATGTTATATCCAGTGCTTCATTATTTTGAACTTCCTTATTCTTCCCTTTGTCAAGATGATTCTTATCTGTATTGCTGATTTTGTTATTCTTATTGGATTCTCTAAGTAACCTTAATTTTTTAGCTTTCCTTACTGAAACAATATCTTCTAAATGAGATATTAAATCTGTTATGTCATCACTTTCTGTCATATTATTTCTCAATTTGTATTCTATTTCAAAATCTAACAATGATAGAATTTTCTCTATTATAGCTTCTTTGTCAATAGATTTTTCTGTGGCTCTGATCCTTTTCTCTTGTCTAGTAACCCATACTGCAGCTGACACTTCTCCATCTATTTTAAATATATCTTTTCGTATAGCTGCTTTCACTTCTCTGCGCCACTTTGGTGTAGTGTATTTTTCCATCATTTGTTCTTTCCAAAAGTCCCAATTCCTTGCTCCCACTTCCTTTTTCTTTTGTTTATACCAAGTGTTAGCAGCTCCTTTGAAAAGCAAATTTAATCTAGCAGTAATTATCTCATCTGGCATATTATGATCATCTTTCAGGGTGTCTATCCATTCAATGAAATCAATATGATTATATGCTCCTTCTCCATCGAATGTTTCCCAATCAGATACTTTGGGCAACCCATTAAGGATCATCTTTTGGATTGCTAGATCATAATCATCTCTTCTGTCTGAGTTCACTGAAAACCTCAATTGAGAATTCCTTTCCCTGGGGTTTCTATTAAAGTTAACCATATGAGGAGGGCTAGATCTCTGGTTATGCACTTCTGTTTTATTATCTATTTCACTATCTATTTTGTTTCCTACTGTAGTACTGCAGGCATTGTTACTAGTTTCTGGGGGTGATATTATTTCTGAAGATAGTCTTTGGTTATATAGTTGTCCTTTGCTTAAATCTTCAGACTGTATTTTGTTATTAATCCTTTCTATATCATTTTTCATTATTTGTAACAACTTATTATCAGAGTTAGTCAGGTTAAGTAGTCTACTTTCATAATCCTTTTTGGAATTATTTTGAGACTCTGTTATTTTAAATAATTCCTTATTGACTCCATCTGCGTAACTTTGAAATGTTTTGAATTGGGATTCTACTTGATTCTTTATATCATTATTAACATTATCCATTTTTATTTTATTGCTTAATGTTTCTTTCTCTATTACTTCCATCCTGTCATTATACTGTGAAATCAATAAGTTGTTATCAGATAGTTGTTCTATCACTTCTTTGTGTAATTTTTCTATTCTGTCCAGAGAAATCTTATCTTTTGTTTGTGTAGTTTCCTTGTTACTTAGTTCCTCTATCTTTGTGTTCATTGTGTCTAATTTATTCATAACTGATTCCTTTATCCAATCTCTCATTCTTATTTTGGCAAACAGATCATTCTCCATATTTTTCAGAACAGTCTCAGATATAAATGTTGAAATGGTTTTGAGGCTTTTCTCAGTTTTAATCCAGTTATTATTTAAAAGAGTGAATTTCTTCTCTAGCTCTACAGTAGTCTGAAGGAGTGTTACAACTGATGAGTGGAGGTGAGAAGAGGATATAGTAGGATCTTGAGCTATTTCACTAAGTACTTTCTTGGTTCTTCCTTTTGCAATCAAAGGTTCTGACCGTTGTAGTTGTCTGGGGGGGACCATCCTGATCTCTCCTTTGGGTTCTGATGCGTCCCTCCTCCAGATGTTGGTAAGTTCCCTGAAGGGACCTCGCCATCCGTACCATCTCTGAGTAGATAGAGCTTCTCCAAGCTCTGTTTCGTCTGGGTCCCCTTGGGCGCATCGCTCCTGGGAATTGATGTTGGTTTGGTTGTTCTAATTGAGGGTTGCGAGGTATATTGACGGGTCTGGGGTTGATGTTCCTGTTGTTCATCTGATCTACTGGAATCGGGTTGTTCTGATGACCCTGACGGTTTGTGATATCTTGACGGATCTGTTCCGCTCGGTGATGGAAGGGGACTTCTAATCGATCGTTCTCCATCGGGCGCAATTATTGTTGGACCGTGACTGAACCTGGATCCCATCCTTGAGTTCGAATCAACGCTTCTTCTCGACCTCGTAAGGCTATCATTTCGCTGAAATCCTCTCGACAATATCCTAGATGAGCCCGTATGGCTCCTTCCGTCGTTTGGTTCGTTACCCTGGATAACCATTCCTGGTTTCCCCTCAACCGATGGTAGTACCTGTTGAATCGGGCTTCTATCGGTACTATCATAAAGATCATTATTTTGGTTAGTACCTTTACCTTTCGAATTCTTGCGACGAGTGGTAATGTTAACATACGGTTGTTGAAATTCTCGTTTGTCATGTTCGGTATCGCTTGATGCCCTAGATTGACTTCTATTTCTAGATCGGTCAGACATGATAAATGTAAGTATCGGTATTGTTTTATATTATCTAAAGTAAAATACTTCTTACTGACCGGTAGATTGCCTACTTTCCAAACTGTTTCGTCTTTCTCTAGCTGAGTTCTGGTTACGGAGCTCGTTCAATTCTCGGGTGAGTCTAACAATCGAGTCCTCTCTTTCAGATCTTTCAGTTCGTAAGTCGGTCGAAGCAGTTGGCGATCTTCTCTCTCTGAATTCAGGTCAATCAGTTAGGTTGGTTCTCCTTTCGTTTGGGGTCGGGGATCTAGAATGATGACCGTTAGATTGCTGAACGGTGTTATCTTCGATCGGGATATTAGTCGACACTAATTATTCAATGGATTTAGTTTTCGTCAGTTTTTTAGTCGATCTTTTCTTTTAGTAAGGCAAGAGACTTACTGATGGTTATCTATTTTAATTTTTAGTTTTTTGTTTTTAGTGGAGATCGAGGACAGAATAGGAATCGAGTACGAAATAGACTAATATTCAATAGGTAAAAAACGAGGATTTGAGTTGAGAACGGACGATAAGAAATACTAGTAGACTTTCGACAAAGATTCAGACTGGTTAGATACTACTCAGTGTAGTAATATCGGTATATAAGTTAAGGAAGATCGGTTGAGTAAAAAAAAGAAATGTTTATATTTTATTTTTTTATAATTTATATATATGTTTTTATTCTTTTATAGAGATATAAGATTGAGCAAGAGGAGAAAATGAGATACGAGCAGAAGGACTAAACTCGGAAAGAAAATTTTTTTTAGAGATTTTATCGAGAGAGGATAATTTTGTTAAGAAAGAGGGTCGTCGGAACTAAGGAAATCTTCTGGTAACGGAGGGAGTTCAGGTTCTAATGCTGTTTCGGCTATGTTTTCTCTGATCGAGGGATTAATAGTCGAAGATTCTCCTGAATCAAGGTTCTCCCTAGTTTTCTTAGTGATTACTGAGATTAAGCGTTTATGCTTATTCTCGCCTAAGAGTTCCTTTGTAGAATTAAGGTAGGTAGAGTGAGTCGTGATCTGGTAAGTCTTGATGATCTTAGTCTTCCAGAAATAGGAGTAGATGTAGTCGGTATTCTTTTCGTAAGATATTTTGGTCTCGCTATAAGTAAGGTTAGGAACGATGGGATCGTTGCTCATACACTATAGAAAGATGAATCAATGTCGGTGAAAATTTGGTCAGAGAATCTTCCCGGCCAGACCCCCAAATGTCAGGTTTATGCTACTTACGAAATAGGATCGTAGTGCTATAACCGTAGACGAAGCAAAGAGTATAAGATTGATAATGACAATTAGTTAATCAATTGTTGCTCAGGACAGAAGCGCGCTTGAGACTTACACGAGCTTCCTGCAGCTTAGTAGCCAGGGCAATCCAATCGTCGACAGATAGTCGAGTTGGGAATAGACGGAAGGAGGATAACAAGCAATAGATAACAGACCAGTGTTACCTAAGCTTGTACCGGGTGATGGGAGTTTGAGGGCAGTAATAACTAGAGATACAGATATAAACTAAGTCCAAGGCAAGAGGTATTTCTAAAGTGTTAGCTTTTAGTTAATGCTCTTCGAGTTGGTAGTATTGGTTGTATATTTTACTAGTAATTTTTGCTGGGGAAAAGGAAGAGTTCTCTTTCATCTCTCGGACTGCCTTCTTAAATATTCCTGTCTTCTATTCTGGGGTTATCCCTAAAACAACTATGACATCATAGTCTGGTTTGATTGAGGGTCCTCACAGACCGAGGTAGCCTGTTTTCTCTGAGTCTAACTAATGTTCACTCAGCAAGTTTGTATTTCATGTTTATCTTAAACAAACCTCCACTTTGTTTGTTCACCTGTTGGTGATCTCATCAATATTCTATTATAGTGTAAGGTTGTGCTTTCATCAATTTTCTGTCTTATGTGATTCTGATTATTTGTTTGTTATTTATTTTCTCTCTCTATTTCTGTAATCTTGTGTTTATTATATAATTGCAACTTTCTAGCTCTACATACTTATAATTATGAGTTATGTTTATTGTATCTTAATTGATATATCTCTATTACTTGTCACTGTCAAGAGTGTTACTACAGGTGTTACACTCTTGCCAGTTGACATCGACGATGATCTCACTCTAGACAATCTTGAGGATCTTGAACGAGAAGACTCGAAAGATAGTTATACCTCTGACTCGCGTCGCCAAACCCTCACAAAGGTTAGTCTGTTCATCTTTTATCAAATTCTCTAATCACCTCTCACTGGAATGATTCTATCCACTGTTGGCAGTTCCGTCGAATTGCCATGAAACTTCGCAAGTCCCCGAACTCCAAGGCAAAATTCATCGAGATTTGTGAAGAAGCTCAATGCAAGAAACCCCACACCATTGAGCGTGACGTCCCGACTCGGTGGAACTCGACTTACATGCAACTGTCGAGTATTGTCCGATGTGAGGAAGCCATGTAAGTCTAATCATTATCAGATCATGATCCCCAATAATTACCCAAACTAACCTTTTATTCATGAAAGTGTCTTGTGGCAGCGCAATAAGCAGTTTGGAATGCCCCGTAACTATCACGTTCAACAAGAAGACTTTGACTTAGCCACGGACTTGGTTCGACTTCTCCGACCGTTTTACAAAATCACCCTCCAATTGTCAACCAAAGCCTCGGCCCGGATTGCCGAGGTCGTTCTCATGATTGATCAAATCACATCCAACCTTGCCGCCGTGATTGCCAAACAGGATTCTGAACGAGATCACCCTCCAGCTCTACGAAATGCATGTCGCGCCGGCCTTCACATAACCAATAAGTATTACTCACTGACTGACTGCTCACCATTATACAGAATTGCAATGAGTAGGTCTTTTCTTCAACTCTCATGTGATTACATATGACATTCCTGGCCACTAACAAATATTATCTCTGAATTTCCAGTTCTCCATCCGTCTTTCAAGGACAAATACTTTAAGCTGACCAAATGGCCTAAGGAATGGATTGATGAGGCAGTTAAACTCACCCGCGAGATGTACAATAAGTGGTACAAACCTCGAAACGTGGAATCAGAACCAAGTGCAGAAGAACTGGAAGATGAATCAGAATGGGTAAGTTCCATTTAATCTGCCCCCTTCTGATTCAAATCAACTGATCAAATCCTCCACCAGCCGCAACCTGGGGTCCTGGCAGGTCTAGGTGATGCTGCTGAAGCTCGAATTGCGGCCCCCTCGAGTGACCCCATTACCAGATGGCTCACAGGTCCCCTGTATTTGGAAAAAAAACGGCGACCAATTGATGCCCTCAAGTGGTGGACGGAGCAAAAACGGAGTGGAGATCAACATCAAGGCCTTGAACAGATGGCCCTTGATGTCCTGTGTTGTCCAGGTAAGACTCAAGACTCACAGTAAATCAGTGATCTCAAAATCAGAATGCTGATCATTGTTTCTGACTTTTTGCACAGCAACAACGGTAGACGTAGAGCGTACGTTCAGCTTTGGTAGAGACTATGTCACCACTAGGCGACACAATCTCCACCCACAATCAGTAAGTACAGGTATGGTGTTGGCTTTTTATTCACAGAACAACAAGATCAAACCTCTGGCGCTCCACAAATACATGGAAAAAAAGAAGAACGAAGCTAGGACTAAGGCGAAGAGGACTGGTGGGAGTCAAACTCAAAGCGCTCGTGGCACGCAAACTGTTGCTGTCGTCATTGATTGATTAAATATTAGTGATTAAATATTAGTTTCATTTTAGTCTATTTCTCCATTCTCTTTCTTTCCTTCTCTCAAGTCTCAATCTCTTTCTGTCACTCTCACTGGTTCACGTCAAAGATACAAATGTCATACACAAGTTAGCTGCAAGCAACAAAAAAATTTCCATTCTCTTTCTTTGCTCCTCTCAATCTCTTTCTGTCACTCTCACAGTTCACTGGTTCACCTCAAAATTACAAATGTCATACACGGGTTAAAATTTTTTTGATTCTCTTTCTTTCCTTGCTTTCTGTCACTCTTACTGGTTCACCTCAAAAATACAAGTCATACACGAGTTGGCTGCAACTTAAGCAACAAAAAAAATTGCAAAGAAAAAAATTGTTTTTATTTTTTCCATTTTTTTGGGAGTGTCACAGGCTGTGAGCAACAAAAGAAAAACAAAATAAAGAAAAAAAAAAGAAAAAAAAAAAGAAAAAAAAAAAAGAAAAAAAAAAAAGAAAAAAAAAAAAGAACAAATAAAATAAAAAGGAAATATACAGCTAAACCGAAAAAGCTTGCGGGCTGTCGAGTCGGAATATCCAAAAAAAAAAAAAAAAAAAAAACTGCAATCGGAATGTTAGGAAGAATACAGACAAGAATACAGGCTGCCGTATACCTGCCAGCAGCACCGGTGGGACCTGACCGGCCCCCCAGGGGGATAGCTCAGCAGCAGCCACCCCCGGGTAAGGGGAGGCCGTTGGAGTGAACTTTGCATCAGGATTCCGATGGTGTTACTCTCATCACCTGAAAATGAGAGAACAAAAAGATAGCAAATTCAACCCAACATGATGCATCCATACATGACCCTGTATTCTTCCAAAACTTCCAGCTGTAGTCGGTAGATTTTTTTATTTTTTTTTATTTTTTGACTTCGGAGCCCGCAAGCTTTCTCGTTATAGCTGTATATCTATTGAAAAACAAAAAAAAAATTAAAACTGTTTTTGGCAGTGCAAGCAGCAAAGGTAGAAAAAAAAAAAAAAAAAAAAAAAAATTGAAGGCTTGCAGGCTACCAGGACTTCAAAATTGGTGTTTATGCAGCCCCCCAAATCTGAAATTTCCCCACGTAACATTCATTTTGCACCCTAGGGGTCATTTAAGGGGCGGATATCCGCGGATATCCGCGCGGATACCCGCCAGCGCCAGCGGGTATCCTCTGGCGGATGCGGATGCGGATGTGGATGTCTGATTCCGCCGAAAACGCGAGCGGATATCCGAATCCGAACGGATATCCGGATGCGCCGGGCCCATCTCTAACAAGAACTCTCATCAAAGTGGGGTC